CTGTTAAAGGTTAAACCAGTTTCTGATCACTTAAACCAGTTTATGTGTATCTTCTGTCCATAGCCCACTAGACTGAGGAGTCATTTAATAACCAGCATATTCTCCCCAGGAAGCTACTTTTCCGCTGTAATCAAGTCACCGCTCAATCTTCTTTTTGACGAGCTAAACAGATTGAACTCTTGGAGTCTCGCACTGGTCGGCATTTTCTTCAGACCTGTAATCAATGTTGTGGCTCCTTTCTACAGTCGCTCCAATTTTTTAATGTTTCTTTTCAATGTAGATGTCAAAACTGTTTACGGTATCGGTCCCACCACAGCTGTAAACAGAGGTTAAATTGTCTCTCTACTCCTACTCGCTAATCCCCTGCTTTTACCTCCAAGGCTCACAGCCCTTTGTGCCGCAACATCCCACTGGCAATTCATGTCGGTGTGTTCATCCCCTCTGACCCCCTAAGTCATTCCCGGCATTTAGTCCATCGATTTTTGTAGGTGTAGCCTACACCATGCTACACGTGTGCCAAGACGTCTGACTTTGCATTGGGCTGCATCCAAATGCATTTTATTGGAATGGGCCCAACTTATCGATGGCTCTGCTCCCACCTTCCCGTCATGGGGCAAGTCCAGCTGGAATTTTAAATCAGGTGGAAATTAACCCCGGGGCCTCTTCCTCACCGATTTCATACTCCTTAACTTTGTGCCAACAGCCCCTCAGAGATGAGCCTGTTTGCATAAAGTATGGCCGTGCCCGCTACAACCCTGTGACTGGAGTGCTCCCTCACCTTTCTGTGAACACCGTGACCGAAATCCCTTCAACTAGAAGCTGCTGACCCAGCAGTTCCCTGCGTGCTTTCCTTACGGCACGATGGCAAAGGTCCAAGTAAGATAGGAGTGGCAGGAGCTGAGCCCCATGATGTCAGAGTCTGGCATGCTGTGTGGCCCCTAAGGGAGCAGGAACTAATGCTCGTATAACGAGGGAAGAGAGAGTGCTAACGGGGGTGCGCAGAGGGGTCCATGACGCAGGAAGGGGGAGCTAGGCCTTCTGCATATCTCGGGAAAGGGCAATGCAAGCAGATCTCTAAAGCAATGAGTCTGTAGAAACAGCAGCGTGCAGCAGAAGAGGGTGGAGGGGGTGAGGGGCATCTGCAGGCATGCACACGTGTGTGCGCACACACCCCCCACATCCCTGCGTGGAAGTGCTTACACTGAACCGCATGCACTACACGGGCAAATGAAAGCTTAGCAAGCACCAGGGCAGGGGAGGAATTCCTCGGGAGGAACCAGAGGATGAGGCAGGCGGCAGCAGGTGAGACATAGGTGGAGGCACCAGCTAGCAATACACAGGGCTGAGACCGCTGGGTTTTGAAGATGCAGAGGAATGGGACGGGCGTAGTTAGAAAGCCGCCGGGCGCTAGGTCCAGTGAGCGCTGGCTACTCATTGACTAGTCCGTGGCTGTATTCTGTAACCCCGGGCCAGTCCAAGAGAGCAAAGGGGACGTGCCCAGTCAGACTGGGACAGGTTGCTGCAGCGAGGTGAAGTTTTAAAGGGTCTCCCACCATGATAAAGTGCTCTCCAGCTGGGCTCGTGCTGGGACTTAGTGACTCCTCCTTTACCCACAGAGTCAATCAGCAGGGGTGAAAGTGGAGACTGCTGCTATGTGCAGTATGTTCGACATGTCGGTGCGGCTGCCTGCCCACGCCAGCTCAGCAGGTAGCAGCAGATGGAAAGCGACTCTGCAGTGCTTCATCCTTGCCCGTGTCTAACCACGCCAGCCCCAGTGCCTGATGCAAACAAGGAGCATCTCGTTAGGGTTACAGTCCTGCTCAGATGAGAAAAACCATGTCACACCCCTCTGGCTCTTCTGTACTGCAAGGCGTTATATTTGCTGCCGACGTTTCTTGACTCTCGGTGTCTGCCCTGCCGTTCCTGTGGCTCAGATGTGAGCAGCAAAGACTGTTAAAATGCCCAGGCAACCTGAGCAGGAAACTGTTTTCTTACCCTGCAAAATTCTTTGGGATTTCACAGATCTTCGGCATGGAGACCTTTCAAAGCCTTTCTTGCAAAAAATGTACTGAGACCTAGCAGCACAGAATAGTGAAAATGCTTCCTAGAGATGAAGGAAAGCCAAGGTCAGCTTCCTCCTCTATCAGACTGAAAACAGGAACGTGATTCTGGATCTCCTATGCCAGGGGTTGGCCACCTTGCACGAGCAGTGGCCTGCCGCTTGCAGCTGACACCGCTACTGATGTCCTCCACCACCAGTAGCAACCGATCTCCTCCTCCTCTGCAGTGCCAAGGCCACGCACTGCCGCCTCCACCATCTGTGCCATTCTCTACCAATTCCTATCCCCCGGGCAGTGAGTGGGGAGGAGCAAATTTGGCAGCAAGGATAAGGAGAACCTGCAATAGGAGGTGAGAGGGCCGTGGCACAGGGCACTGCAGAGGGGATCAACGCACAGGGAAGAGAAGAGGTATGCCTCCTGTGAGCCATCGGTTGCCGACCCCAATCCCAAACTGCTCATATTTTATGTAATAATTACATATTTCCTGGGTCTCGGAAGGAGAGAGAGACTGAATATAGCCCACGGGAGAAGAGGTTGTTCTGGGAAGTGGGAGACCCGGAGTTTAAATGCATGCTCTGAATCAAGCAGAGCAAACATTTGAACCAGGGGCTCCCTGGTGAGTGCTTCAGCTTAAACTACAAGATCGGAGTTGGATTTTAGGACGAACTTTGTGATGACGAGGATTGCTAAGCACTGGAAGAGATTATCTAGGGATGTTGTAAAAGCACTGGAAGTTTTTAAATGACAGTGAGACAAACACTTGGCTGGCATGGTTTAGACCGGGACTAGAAGACGTCTGGAGGACCCTTCCAGCCCGATAGTTCATTGGTTCTCCAACCTGGCTATTTGCTGTTCTGGAGCGGGAATCTTTCTCATGTTGTGACTAGAAGTTGCATCCTGGACCTAAGAACTCCTTCCAATTTAAAGGTTTGGGGAAACCACTGCATTTTCGAGAAAAAATATGTTTCACTAGAAAGCTTCCAGCCTCTGTAATGTTTAGTTGGTCCAGTTCTCAGCTGACCCTCCTTACCCAGCCTTTAGTATGCAAACAGCCAGCATTATGCATCACCCTGTTCCCTTTTTTGTTGTTTATTTGGAGAATCCTGTGTTAGCGACTGCATTTCAGCTCCTTCTCATGCGCTGCAACCTGAAAAGCCGCTATTTGGAGAATCCCCGCTCCCTCTGGAAATAGGCCTGGGTCAAAGGAATTGCCTGTTGTGTTATGCCCAAGGCCAAGCTACCCACCCAGTACTTTGTTTCCACCAATGTTCAGACTCAGAGAAAAGTGTAAGTACCCTGAGGTGGGATAATCTGCCCCTACACAAGTGCCTTTCTGATTTCTACTTGTGATTCAGGACGTGCTTGGGATGCCCTTTTTATCCATGTCAGTGCCAAGTCTTGTTACATGCTCGGTCTCAGCATCTTCCTCTGCCCCTCCTTCCCTGTATATCTTCCACTCTTGTCCCTCCCCGTGCATGGGTGTATTTGGCAAGCTAAGACAGAGACACAGTGACTGTAATGTAGAGCTACTCCAGGCAGCTTTTGTGCCCGTGTTGATTCAGCTAAACCAGCTATTCATACAGTCTAACGTCCTGCGCTTCTCAGCCAGATCCTAACTTAGGTGGACTGCCCCATCCGACTGCAGCGTAGACTTGTCGTCAATGCTGGCATTTTAAGATAAAACCTTAAGGACTTCCAGTGTTTTAGTAGGAAATGGGTGATGCAGAAATGCTGTGATAAAGCACAGGATTGAGATTCAGTCTTAAATGCTCTCCTACTCCTGCAGTTTTAGGACATATCAGTTATATGGGATAGATCCATAATCCCAAACAAGTTGCTTAATGCTCTGTCCTGAGATGAAATACTTCCAGAGGTCTTTCATGGTGCTGTAGGATCCTTTCTTCATCCAACCTGATACCTATATATTAATCTGGTGACCAAGAATCACCATTCTTGTTAGGCATCTTTACTCAGTATTTATCTACTCTACTTATACAGACTTAATGGGGTTTTTTTTCTGGAGCCTGTATTTGTATAGGCCTAAGGGTGTGGGTTGTTGGGGTTTTTTGGCAGGGGCTGTATTTTGGCTGGGATGATCTATTTGGGGCTGGTCCTGCTTTGAGCAGGAGGTTGGACTAGATGTGACCTCTTGAGGTCCCTTCCACCTTCATTTTCTGTGATTCGATTAGCCAAAATCCCAGCCAAGCGGGGTGGCAACCACTGAATGAATTAAGGACACGGTAAAGATGAGACTGTACTATTGGTGCCTTCATAGATGTGGAGTCACAGCCATTGCTGATTGCCAGTCAGATCTGGGCTTGCTGTGATGTGTGAGATTGGTAAGTGGTGTCACGGATGGGTACAGGACATAAGGGCACCATAAGGGCATGGGAAGAGGGCAGGCCATGCCTTAGACACGGAGGCCACTTAAAACTGCTCTTTCTTTTCTAGTCACCCGGGTGTTTGGAGAACAGTGTATTTATACTGAGGGGTGACCTTGAGACTCTCCTGTCTTGGTTTGGAGGCAAAAAATGGTGAAAAAAATACCTTGGCTTTGAGGAAGGTCCTGAGACATGGTTTATGGAGCAACCCAGTCATCTGAACTGGTGTCTGCTTAGCCTTCTGGTCATGGGCTTTTTCCCATGTGAGGAACAAAAGCTGCCAGGGGGAAGGTCACAGATTAAAATATGGTTTAGACATAATTGGTCAGAGGAGCAAATTGCTGAGCTCTCTCTCCTGCTTCTGGCAATGACTGCTTTGATGGAAAGTAGACCTCGCTTCCTCCCAGGCCGGGTGAAAGAGGTGGGTAGAGGGAAAGGGATGTTGCAGTCAAGCTTGGGTATTGGGTATTTACTTCTTACTCTCGTATCTCGTGTATCCAGTGCCAGTTGCTAACAGAATGCCAAGCAACCTCCTTTTTATCTTCTCTCTCGTTTTTAGTGCTAGACACCGCAGGGCAAGAGGAGTTCAGCGCCATGCGGGAGCAATACATGCGGACAGGAGACGGGTTCCTGATAGTGTATTCAGTCACGGACAAAGCCAGCTTCGAACACGTGGACCGGTTCCACCAGCTCATCCTCAGGGTCAAAGACAGGTGAGTGCTTCAGAAGGAAGAGGTCCCTTCATTCACATCCTTGCAGCTTTGGAGGCATATAGCAGGACTTGGGAGATCTGGGTTCAGTCACGACTGCCATCTCGCAGCATTTCCATCTTCCGCTGAGCTGCACTGAAGCCCCGATGCAATGTCTCTGTGTCTAGTATTGCTTCTCTAATTTTGGGTGAGTACTCACCTCGGTACTAGAGAGAGGAAACAGGCCTAGGAGGTAGCTGCCGCCCTGTTGCACGTTACGTTTATTGTGCAGTGAAGTGGTTCATTGCACCAACATTTCGACATGCTGCACAGGCAGAGTATGTATCACTCAATAAAAATGGCCAAGCAGCCACAAATATCTGACTTGAAAAATGTAGAACATTTTTAAAGCTGGTTTCTATCAAGCTTTAATTTGAACGTGGGGCATGTCACTATAGGGCAGGCAGATGTTAGTCCAATTTTCGCTGTCCCTCTCTGCCGACTTGCCACGTCCCTAGTTTTTCGAGGCTTGTACCTCTCCCAAACAAACCTGGAAGGTCTCGAGTCTTGTGGCAATATGAGACTGTAAGCAAATGTCAAAACCCACTAAAATCAGGGAGAGGATTTTTATTAACATTAATGAACTCTGAAACCACTGATCTTATTCCACTTGTAACCAAAGCCCCAAGTCCGTGAAAGCTCACCATAGGGGAAACGCTGATTCTTCACAGCGGTGCATTTGCTGTCAGCGAACTGTAATCTGCAGTGTATATTTTTAGTGTACTTACTTTTATGTGGCTGGGAACGAATAGTCGATGGAAGATTGCAGGGGATCGTTTCATGGTTGTTTGGGGCTGGAAGGGACCTTGCAGATCATCGGGTCCAGCCCCGCCGCACTTACACAGGAAAGACAGCTGCGATCAGATGACCCCAGCAGCAAGTTGGGTGTCAAGGCACTTTTTGAAGATGGTTTTTCCTTATGTCTAGCCTGAAGTGGTCTTCAATCAGTTTGTGCCCATTATTTCTTGTCCTCCCCTGGGGGACCTTGGTGAACAGATGCTCCCCCAAGCCCTGATGCACGCCCTGATGTACTTGTAGGCTGCCACCAAGTCCCCTCTGAGTCTTCTCTTCCCCAGGCTGAACAGTCCCAAGCCTTTCAGCCTCTTCTTGCATGACCTGCTCTCTAGGCCTCTAATCATGCGCGTGGCCTTCCTTTGGACTCTCTCGAGTTTCTCCATTTCCTTGCTGAAGTGCGGCGCCCAGGACCGGACGCAGATCTCCAGCTGCGGTCTCTCCAAGGCCGAGTAGAGCAGGAGGATGACATCCTTAGCCCTGCTCAAGATGCCTCGGTAGATGCATGCCAGTGTTCGATGAGCTCTGCCAGCTACGGCATCGCATCGGTGGCTCACATTCATTTTGTTGCCTATCACAATACCCAGGTCTTGTTCAGTCGTGGTGCTGGCAAGTGTAGCACTGCCAAGCCTGGAAGTGTGGTGTGGATTATTTCTCCTATAATTAAGTCCTGTAATCTGTGTGAAGAAAAATGATAAAGCAGTGCTGAAGTTTTAGCCTTGTGGTAAGCCAAGATATAGCAAAAGATCAAAGGAAGTTCCTAAGGTTTTATCTGCTGATAATTTTGCTGTGCCCCATCCCTCTGCACACGTGAATGTCTCTCCCAGAAGTTTTAAAATACTTTATTTTTTCCATTCAGAAAGGTTTCTAATCAGATGCATCAAGAGAAGCTGCCAGAGGATTGAGTCCTCATTGCTGACTTCCTTTCTGAATAGTATCCTTGAAGGAAGGGTGGGCTTTATTGTGTGCTGTGCACTGCCGAGTGGCTTTTCTGTGAAAGTGTTAACACACAAAGGGGAAAAAAAGTGAACAGCACCCTTTGCATCTAGGTGTATGTGTACGACAGTCATTTTAACTTGCCTCCGACCTACAGAAGTGACATTCTCCGAGTATCCATAATATGCTCTTCGCTGGGTGTGTCTGCACGTGCACTTTAATGCGCAGTAGATTATTTTACTGCACATTAAAGCCTCACGTAAAAACCGCGACATTATGCGAATGTCTACAGTAAAATAGTCTGCTGTGCATTAAGTGTCACTAAAAAAGCATGCTGCTGCACACTGGGCATTTATACACGTCCCTTTTTGTCCCGTGACATGCGATCCACCACATTAGAGGTACTAAATTTAATGTCCATTAGAAAAGGTGCATAAATATACGTGCAGACGTGCCCAGCATCAATTTAGCTTCGGCCCAAAGTTAAACCCTTGTAAATTAACAGCGAGAAGCGTTATGTAACCTGACGTGAACAGGGATGAGTTTTACCTCATTCAGTTCAGTGAAATTAGGTCTGTTTTTTTCTCTCCCGGTCAGTGCTGTAAACCCAAACACCACATGTAGCAGATGAAAACCAGGAAATGTTACAGTGAAAAGATTCCATTTTTCCAGCCTAATATGATTGAAACACATAAAGCAAGCAGTCTAAAGGGATACAAAGTAAATGCAGTTCATTTAAAAATTGAAATAATTGAAATAGGCCAAAACGCTAATAGCAGCAAGGATAAAAGAGTTACTCTTGGCACTGAAATCTTCACTAAATGTGGAGTAGTTTTAATCTACGTTTCCACCAGGGTAGCAGGCCAAAATGTGTTTGCAGAATGTGTTTGCATTTTGACAGTAACCCCTTAGGCATTTAGTTTTGGAAATGTGAAATCCAAACGAGTTTGGTTGCCTCTTTGGCACGGTTGTTTATGACACGGTGCTTTTTCTTCCTTACATTTAATTACTGTGAAGTCTTCAGCTGTAGTTGCCCTTGTCCACCTAGTAATCATACAGCTCCAGGGAACAATGTCCCCACAGAGCTTTAGTACGGCTGTAAACACGGGAAATGACAGTCTGTCTAATTGCAACCGATTTCTACCACTAGCCCGCACGCCGGAGGAGGTAGGGCAGGCCAGCAGAGCAAGCACTTTTTGCAGTGTGGTCACAAAATCAAGATGCTCAGGTATTCAAACTAAATCCAAATCACATTAACATGATTCATTCAAGGAGCAAACTTCAAACTGAAAGCGCAGTGTACAGTGCATCTTTAGCCTGGGCAACGGAGACATGTGCCACAGACATTCAGATACTCAGAGTAACGCAGTCAACGGCGTTCTCCACAAGTAAGCAGGGCTGGCGACTTGTCCTGACAAACATCACGACTTTGTCCGAGTCCAAAAATATCAAATTGATTTTAAAGGTTTTCTTTTAATTAAAAAAAAAAAAAAACGTCAAGGGAAACCACGGTATGCTGCGTTTTATTATTTCCAAGGGAAATTTATAAAGAGTCCCTTTATCCTCTGCTTTTGTTTTTGCAATAACATAGTTTTAAAACTATTTAATATTAATCCACATTTTCAAAATGATTTAAATCCACCCCATACCCCATCCCACTGGGCTTTCATCAAGTAAGATGGGTATGAATCCAAGGCAGAAAGCTTCCAGTAACAGACTGCAAATACAAAGGGCAATTTGGGAGGAGCTTCCCAGACGCACGGCTGGGTCCACAGTGGGTTCCTTGGACATCAGCGGAGTGATGCTGTTTTAGCCAACTCAGGATTGGGCCCACTATTTTTATCCTGTATGCTATAGACATGATCCACCAACAGCCTTGTAAGGAAGCGTCTCTGTCTTCAGTCAAGGTCTGTAAAGTATTTTCAAGTGCAGGAAACTTTCAGCATTATTTTTAGTTCCTAAAGAGACTGGGTCTGGTTCTTACCCACCCAGTCCTGAGTAAGGAGTAGCCTAAAGAGCCTTTCAGCATCCTAGCAGTTTGTTGACAGCCACCAAAATAGTCTCCATTTGTTTCTTTATTCACTCCACGTACCGCTACCATATAGACATGGCATTTCCCTCCCTTCTTCGTTTATGAGCAAGGCTTCGAGACTTCGGACTCATGAAGCCTATGAGAAGTCTTAACCCGAACGGTTATAAATGATACCGTTTTTGTTTGCTCAAAATGTCTTTGGATGCTGACACTCCTTCCCTTCTGTACATACAGACTGGCCTTGAAGTATCTAAAGTGACGGGGATCTTGGATCGCAGCTCATCTAATTTGCTTATAATCAAATAGCAATCTTGGACTTCCAAGCACAGCCGCTACTTGCGGAGGGTGGAGGATGCACACACATCATGTACAACTTGTCTGGAATAGCCGGGAAAATTTTATCACCTAGATAACATAGAAACGCACATCGAAGTTCTGTTTTAGGATAATGCTCCATGGTTTGTTGCTGCCTAAAACTGTGCCACTAAACACCTACATGTTGTATCTGTCAAGATGAAAATGCTCTGAAGCATCTGCATTTGCAAATGAACCCTACATTGAACATTTTTTGCATTTAAAATCTCCTAATAATGTTTTTTTTTTCCCCCCCAGAGAATCATTTCCAATGATTTTGGTGGCCAACAAAGTTGATTTAATGCATTTACGAAAAATCACCAGGGAACAAGGAAGAGAAATGGCAACCAAACATAATGTAAGTTGAGGAGGAGGTCTTTGTTTCCGTGTTGCTTTGGCATTTGCGCTGCTTTTTAAGTTTCATTATGCACATTCAGAATGGGATTCATTCCCTATTGGAGTTTAATTAGCTCAGTTCTCTGATAATGAAGCACTTGCACAATTACATTTTCAGATAAAATGCAAATTAGTAGGTGCAGAGGTAATTCCCCGTGCATCACTGAAATGGTGCCATTCCTGTGCTGCAGCAGGGCTGGGAAGATCCTAGTTGTGTCATATGAGTTGTTTGGAGATGGGTGAGTCGTGAGCATTCAAAGTAGGTGTCATCTTTGACCATGGCACCATGATCCACCAAATGTGAGGATTTGGGAAGACGCACAGTATTCATGCAGAAGTGAAAAGGTAGACCAAGGAACTGGTGGATACAAAGAACTAGATTCTGCTTTTGGAGGTGGAAGGGCAGGAAGCCAGTCTGCCTACACAACAGTGCAACACGCGGCTTTTTGTGCAGTGCACGGTTTCATTGATTTAGAAGGTGTTGTGTGCACAAATGTAGACTCTGCACTTGTAGTATCAGCAGCCAGTTTTCCCAGACTGGATGAAGAAATACGCGCACACACACACACACACGCACACGCCTCCATCATCTGAGTAGAAGTTTTTAAAGTCGGAAAGGAAATGATTGAAATCACTCTTCTGTGGCCTTAATACAATGGAGCATGCAAGGAATTTCTGGCTAGTGTTAAGTCTTTTAGCAACTTCCAGCAAACGTCTGGCAGGCATATAACATAGCTTGTCTTTATTTGTACAGCCTTCCTGTCTGCAGGTACAACTTGCTGACAAAGAACGTTTATCCTCACATGCTCCGTAGCCTCCCCGAGCTGGAACTTGGTCCGACCAGTTGTTTTGCATGCTGCCTCTTACATAAAGTGAGGTGTCTTTGTAAGCACTCAGTGCCCCTTGTGCAAGAATAAAAGTGTTGACACTGATATCACGGCAGCATTTCACAGACCTGCATTTCTCCGTATTGACGTTATCTTCATTTTTTGCCTGGCTTAGCGCTGCTGTGCCCTGGTAAGCAGCTACTATATTACACCTTTGCACAAAAAGATCACTCCATTCACTGCTGAAACCAGAGTGAAAGCATCGCTCCCGTGAGCCAGTGGTAAAACTCCCATTAACTTGAATGGGGCTAGGATTTTACCCGTAGTGATTAAATCAGTTCAAGTTAACAACGGGCTGTGAGAAATCACAAATGAATGGTGCCATACTGTGAATTCCAGGTTAGAAAATGTCCTTTTTTTAACAGGGCCTTACCTAAGAGACAGACCAAAAGTGGATATTCAGTACAATCTATTACAGCTGTTTGTTCTAACATGGCCTCTGTTATGCATCCAATTTTTCCAGTCCTTTGCATTGTCATTTAAGATGGATTTTGCTGTAAACATGTAAGCTTTGACTTACATTTCTTGCACGGGGCTTTTCTTTCAGATTCCATACATCGAGACGAGTGCCAAGGACCCGCCTCTAAATGTGGACAAGGCCTTCCATGATCTTGTTAGAGTAATAAGGTGAGCGGTGAAACACTGTCTATTAGTATTCATTGGTGTGAGGTTCACAAGTCCTAACACACAGAGCCAAAAAGCCCCTTCTTTTGTGTTCTTTATTAGGGTTTCTCGGTCCATATCTGCACACAAGACAGGTTTGTGTGTTTGTGTTAAACCTTCATTCCTATTGCTGAGCAGTTGCAAAAACCAACTGTTCACTTAAAAAAACAATTCAAAGCTAATGAACTCGTCTATGATCTGTCCAACTACTGCTACAGGGACCAGCATCTAAAAAGACAGCAGCATTTTCCATACAATATGGGCCCAGTCCTCAGCTAACGTAAAGCAGCATAACTCCCGTGCAGTCCGTGGCATTACACCAATTGCACCAGATAAGAGCCCGCCCCTTTAGAGAGTTCCTGATAACTACTTAAGGTTGCTAAGGAACAAAAAATGCAGAAATCTGAAAATAAACCACATGCCCACTTTGTCGTCTGCTTGCACAACCTCAGATGCAGCCACGCTGTTCGCTTCCCCTAGCCAGTAACCCTGCGCCACCATCATCACCAGGGGCCACATCTGGACACGCTTAACTCTGACATCTGCTGGAAACCAGTGGTTTTTGAGAGTTGCTCGCACTTTAACTTTTCCTGTAACATTTGGAAATGGATGATTTCCGTAACTCCACTACAGGCTTCACCCGGGTCCAGGCTTCGGTCCCCAAAATATAGCTCGTAAAACATTCTTGGTTTATCCTGCCTTGTTACTTTTTGTACATGTATATCTTATCGCTTGTGATAGGGAGGCCTGCCAAAGGACCGAGACGGTGAGCGGAATAATGTTTTTACTAGAGCCAGGCAGGAAATTGTTTTCCCATCCTGCAAAACAGTGCAGGGGTTTGCTCCTTTTCCTGTCCACGCCAGAATAAAACCAGGAACTTCAGGAGATTTTCATGCATATCAAGAGCAAGGCCCAGTGCAGAACACCTGTGGCCCAGTGTCTAGGGCTCTCACCTGGAATATATAAGATGCAGGGATTTGAGTAAATTTAGCCATTTGCGCTTCTGAGCCTTTTCCCTTCCTACTCTCTGCTTTTGAGCACAAGGTCCATCCTGGAGCTGACAAACCTTTCTCCCCATGAAATACTTATCAAATCCTCTGCACTTCCACAGAGGGTTTGTTGTTGTTGATTGGGTGTTTTTCCGATTAAAAAAACCCCCTTTTGTCTAAAAATTCCTGAGCAACTCATAGTTACACCAATTGTCAATCCAAAGTGGTACTGCTACAGCCTCATGCACATCTGTCCAAGCTGTAGCCCAGCAGATTCTCACGCCAAATGTCCTAAATAAGGTGAACAGAGTCATTGCTTTCAGTTGATCTCAGTTACAGGATTTGGCTGTATACCTAACAAATAAAATCCTGCGTTGCTGAAATGAAGCCATCTTAATGAAATGCAGGTATGTATTTTTAGCAGCACACACATGCATCCTACTCGCCAGCTTTTAAATTCAGGAAGTGAATAACATGACTAAAACTCCCAGGGAGAATTTCCAGTACATGGGGTTATTTGCTTAAAAAAAGACATATTTTGAGAAAAATGCAGCAGGATCTTGCAGAATTATGAGTGCTCGAGGCCTCCGTTTTCATTTGTAGTCGGTAAGATGCCGTGACTTGCAGCAGCCCACACCGGCTGAGCAGTTTTGTGCAAGGGCGGTGAGACCTATTGTATTATGCAGAACAGTCGTAAAGCTCTGCCTGCCGCCGCGCTTCTGCTTGTTGGCTTCCTGATTCGGGGCCTGTGCTTGGAGATAGCACTGTTTAGATTTCCACAATGCTGTAACTCCAATTGCAACATCTGGCTGTCCTCTGGTTGACAGAAACTGAGAAGATTGGCTGGGGATTTTCTTGCATTGGTAGGCGACTTTGCCCTTTTTTTCTGCCCACAAAGTAGATGCATTTTGAGTCTTTTTATGCGTGGGGTGACATCAGGCCACGGATTTTCTACCTCGGCGAGTAGTTGTTTCTTGTCTTGCTACAGGTTTCCTCTGCTATGATGGCACATTGCTCAAACCTCTGGGTGAATCCCAGGCCTAAGTGATATCAGTAAGCTGTTGCCTTTCAATTTTGGCTTGTAGTTTCCTAATCTGACAACATTTTCCCTCCCACCAGGGGTAATTTTCCTGAAAAGATTTGGCACAACATTTAATGACCTGACATTTGAATGTCATTTTTCACTTGGTCAGTGCCCCACGTTGTTGCAAATGGGCATCTCTTCTACTAATGCTATCAGCTGAAAGTAGAAGAAAGTTTTCTCTCTTTCTCGGCAGTGAAACAGTCATTTATTCACAATTCATCTCTGCTAGCTCTTATCTGAACGCAGCTCCTAGTCAGCATCTGTCTAAAGCAGATGGCACTACCCACTCGAACCAAATCCGTTTTGAGATGGGCAGAAGCCACGGGTAGGTGGAAAATTACTGGCAAATTAAAGATCCATGTTGGAACCGTCCTAAGTTATTTCCAGTCTGTTCCATGGTTTCCCGTTCGTACTCTTGGAGTTAGCATTTATTACACTGAGCTCTTTTCCTATGTGCTTTTACTCTGAAAAATACTGATGCAGAGAAGCTGCTGAGGGTTTGCTGTGTTGTCCAGGCGTGACTCCTGTCAAATATGTATAGTATGCACATTACACCGTGTGTGTGTGTATTTTATATAGTGTGTGTGCTTGTATTTATATATGTGTATGCATATGTGTGTGCGCACAATAAATGTGTGTACATACACACACACAAATATATAATATTTAGTAAGTCCCATTGTACCTGGAAGCCTTACAGTCCTGGCTGACTACTTCCCTTCCTTTACATGAACAGCAGTAATAAGGTTTCCACCAGCCAAACGAGATGTTCCCTGGCACCCGACACAAAAGCCAACAAGGTTGTACAGAGAATATTTGCATTCATGAAGCCAGAAAAGTGAAAAGGTGCCCTAGGACTTAGCTGGCCTATCACCATCAGCTAAACTTGCTAAACTGTGTTTTGAGAGAGAGCTTGAAAGGCAATTGTGGGTGATCCACCACCAGAAAGATGATAAAATCATCTGTGAATTGCCGCAGCATCTTCCGTGAGTTCAGTTCAGGTACTTGAAATAATATTGTACCGATTGACTAGCTGGATTGCTTTACAAAGAGCAACAAAGATGATCAAGGTATGGATCGGCTGCTGTACCACAAGAAACTAAAAATCTCTAGGCCCCTTCAGTTCAGAAAGAAGGGTGATGGGGTCTATATAAGAGAGGTCTATAAAATCATGAAGGGTGTGGATAAAGTCAACAGGCAACTGGTATTCCCCAAGCCCCAAATGTAGGACCCTAGGAGCAGCCAGTCACATGAGTAGGGGGCAGGTTTAAAAAAACAAGAGGAAACATTTTTTATGCAGTGTCCCATTAACTTAGGCAGCTTGCAAGAAGCAGGCAGTATCGCCAGGCTCGAAAGGGATTAGACAGCTTCGTGGAGGACAAGTGCATTGAGAGCTGTTAAATAGAAGAGTCATGGATGTGTCCTCTGACCTCCCGAAACCCATGGCGGTGGATAGCAGGGAGGATGCACCGCACGGGATACGCTTCAAAGCATCTGCTACTTGCCGCTGTCAGAGACAGGCCACTTGGCTAGGTGGATCCCTGGTGCGATCCAGCATGGCATTTCTTATGTTCAGGTGCTCAAATGAGCAGGGTTGGCTCTTAACAGACCATCCTGCCTTGCAGGTTGGGACCAAGTTGCACGCTCGCGGTTTCTGGTGCAACTGCCAGCCTTGTTATGCGGGGAGTTTTCCTACAGTGGCTGCAGGCAGTCTGAGAAGGCAACCTGGCAAATGGATCGGGAAGATGGTAGTAGCCCTGTGCTCCATGCTGCGGATGGCTGTAACCCTTCACTAGCGCTCTCCCATTATAAAACCACGGCCGGGCATGCAGGATCCAGCTCTAAGGATCACTGGGGTTGCCTTGCTGCATGCCTCCCCGGGCAGCCGTCTCGCAGCAGCGCGCTCACCCTTTTTTTTCCTTTCAAACAAGCATCTGGCTTGTGGCCTGGTTCCTATTAACGCTTTCCAAACACGAGATTTTTGCCTGGTCACTTCTCTAAAGAGTTAACAGTCTGGAAGGGCCGTGCTGAACACGTGTCTCAAACCACTATCTCTGCAGCGCCTGGTGAGGGTGAAGGGGAGAAGTCAAGGACAGATCCTTTATATTTAGCCATGGTGTGTTGCCAATCCCAAGCATTCAACAATCCTGACTCAGGCCTCAAATATGTATGAGATTTGACTTGTAAAAAACGATGGGATTTTGTACTTTTTCCTTTTAGTTTAATGAGCATTTCTGGTCTAGGTTTTGTGCTGGTCTCTGCGCGAGCATGAGAGTGAGACGCACGGAGGGATGGGGGTCCAAAGCTCCACTTTTCACTCGTTGCAGCCCCCCAGGAGCTGAGGCTTTAAGAAAAACACCAGCTAGCAGGAGTCTGGTTACCAAACTGTGAGCACTAGCAATGCTGGCTGCATCCCACGGCTGGTGCAGCTCCCTTCCCCTAAGCATTTCATGCTCAGCCTGTAACATGTGGAGAGGAGACAGTTTTTAAAGCATAGGGCGATTACAGAGACCGGCGTGGCCTGCCCAGGAACACACCACTGGTCTATGCAATGAAACCCTCTAGCTCCTCCACCAGTGCTGAACTACACAACTTGTCTTTCTTGCCTGTTTCCTCTGCCAGTCTAGATCAGCTTTTCAGCTGGTGCCAACTGGTGCAGCTCTGGGGAGGTCATTACTGCGTGGGGAGGAACATGTGCATCCAGGTGTCTGCAAAGGTCTGCTGATCTATGTCCACCGAGGCTCTGACATATTATTTAGCCAGCTAAGGGATGTGACTAGGGATAGTGTGTGCTGTCCTTAGCAAGGGACTGGTGCAAAGTGAACCAGACACTGCTCAGGCAATGCAGAGGGGCTGAGCAGAGTGAGGAGATGGGGGGCTACAGTGGCTGGCAGTAATGAAGGGACCTCAGCTCTGCGATCCTGATGCCCTAGATTTCTTGTTACCTGCAGTGTCTTCCAAAAGATGGCCCAGGGCATTTTTACCAAACCCCAGGTAATTTGCCTGGAAAGTTTGATTCATGCCTGCAACCAGCTGTGCAAGACAGAGCCCATTGGAGCAACATATTGCAAAGGGGGTGGGCAGTGGGGCGGACCCTGCCCGCAGATGCCAAATCAGTCCCTTTGGCTGGAGCAAAATCCCAGCCAGAAGTAAATCTTCCAAGAGGGTTTAATTCTCCTAAATCCTTTTTTTCTGCAGCCTCTTGCAGTCCCCAGTGCCCGAGCACGTGACCATAGCCTGGCCGTAGACGATGAAAGGTGTTGTTCTGTCCCGGGGGCCGGGGCCCAGCCTGCAGGCAGGGCAAGGGGTGGGATTTAAGTCACGAGACCTGGGAAGATATTGCCCCCTCCGTATGCAAATGCTGAGTGCCGGTAGAGCACCCTCGTTGTGCAGGCATCCTGCCTTGAATGGGCGTGTGCAGTGGTAGGCCATCCGACGGGGGCCGGGTGCGTGACTCGCACCCCCGGTGGCACACGGAAATCTCAAAAACGTGGCTTTGCAAGGCAGTGCCATGGCAACATGCCCCTGGAGGCCTGCCCTTAGAAAAAGCACCAGCCCTCCCTGTGTCTAGCAGCTGCTGCTGCCACAGCCTCCCTCCTCCCACCTGGTCCCAGACGGGAGCTATTCTTCACTCACTCCTAACTTCATTAACTTCGGCTCCTCCCGTCTAAGGAGGCAGCTGGCAGGGCCAGGATGAATTATGGCCGTCGTGGTATTGCAGGAAGGCCTCAGATGTGCAAGGGACCGGTCAGGTAGATGCACAGGCTCCGTGTCTGACTCAACGGGCGAGTCGCTGGGGAAACCGTGGCCCGAAACCCCATGCAAGCCTGTGAGAGAAGGTGCATTAATCAAGGTGTCATCCTAGATCGGCCTGATGCCCAGGTTGTTCCTGACCTGTAGTCCCTTCCCAATGCACATGTTTTCCCTCTGTGTAGTGACTGTATGGATGGGCTGCCCCTCAGATGGGCTGCTGTCACCCCTTCTTTCTTTCTGCTGCTTGCCTCCTGCTGGAAAGGAGAAAAGGGGAGACCCACGTTACAGCAGCCATCGCCGTTGCACTCCCGACGTCTCTTCCGAGACCCCCCAGCCCTGGGTGACGTTTGCATCTCTGCCCTTCACGTAAAGAGCATCGCCGTTTCACTGCCTTTTTTTTTTTTCTCTCCCTTTTCTTTGCTCCAAACAGGCAGCAGATCCCCGAGAAAAGCCAGAGGAAGAAGAAAAAAACCAAATGGCGAGGAGACAGAGCGACAGGCTCCCACAGAGCGCAGTGTGCCATTTTGTGACGGGGGGCAAGGGGGCTCTGGGTGTCCCCCGCGCACCCCGAGGTGAACTAAAAAGCACTAGCGATGACGCGCTGTCCTGCCTAACTGCACCGTACTGCTTCTAACAGAGGAACTTGACGGGGGGGATTGGACTTGCAGGCTTGACCGGCAGCCAGACCGCACGGGCCTGGCCTGGGTTGCAAGCAGCACCGAGTGCATTGCAAGCACGAGGAGGAGGAGGAGGAGGGGGCAGCAAGGACCTGGACTCGCAAACATCCACAATCCCCAGCTCCTTCCAGAGGCCTCCACGATGTTTATTTAAATAGGAAAAAAAAAAAAAAGTGTTGGTTTTATCTGCAAACGTTTCTCCATGTGACCCATTTCGACACGGCCGTGAATGCCCCCCTGTTAGGTACAGTCAGTTGTGTGTGTATGTGTGGGGGGGGGAGGGACGGGAAAGGAAGGGAAGGGGGGGTTTGTTTGCTCAGTAAGCGCTGGGCTGGAAAGAAACACCGCTGGGGTTAGTTTCTTTTGCACTGAACGCTTCATGGCGGTGCCAGAACACAACTTCATAGGAAAGTGCAGAGATTTGGAGGAGGAAAATGAATTCCAGCTGCTCTCGGCACTCCAGACATTGTGTCAGACCCTGGAGAGCAGCCAGCTCGCCGACCAGAAACTCCAGCTGAGACAAGACGGTTTGGGGGTGATTTTTTTACCCTGTGTCGGGCAGTTTTGTTTCTCTGTTTTGTATTTTGGGGGCATGTCGGACTCACAAAGACGTTTTGTTCAGCTGGAAGTATTTAAATTAAAGTCATTTACAAATGGAAAGAAACGGGATGGGTTTTTGTGCGCGCTTTGGGGTGGTGGTTGTTGGTTTTTCCCCCAAGACCAGTCCGTATTGATTTATTATTTAGGCAAGGGGGTGTTTAGGTGCTGGATTTGCTTCCTTGAGCACTTATAACATAGTGCCTGCATTGCTAGCCACTCCTTGCAGTTCCCTTCCCGCTCCCTTCAAAAGCAATAAGCAGGGTAGGAAGCGTAGTCGGTTCGCTTCTCCTCACCCCCTCGCTTCCAAAACCAAGCCGTTAATCGAGAGTTTTGCCTCCATTTTCCTTCACCTCCCCCTTTGGCACTGTCCGAGCCAAATCCTGCTGACACGGGACCCCAACGGGAGCGTTGTCGTGAACTCGAGTGCCGTGAACTCGACTTTTGCGAGCGGAGCACGCTGCCGCTGCTGTGTTGCTGACAGCAGTTTCTGGTTTAGTGTCTTGTAGCTGCGTGCAGGGCTTTCGAGTGGCAGTTTTGATTAAAAGTGGTGATTTTGGAGAATCCTTGGGCAAACGGTTGTCTGCAAACTCAAAGCACGGGACACCGTGGCCCAGGAGGCTACTTCGTAGCCCACGTATCTAAAGAATGTGCATGCAGAAAGACCAGCTGCCTTCTGGCATCACCCTGCATCTGTGTCAACCCCATTTGGGACAGGATGCCTTCTTGAGGTGAGCGAGGAATTAAATAGTCATTCAGGATGCTACTTCTGCCACTGTCTTCCAGAGGACTGAGACCGCCGTCTTCCTGAACCAGGGCTGCCAACCACTTCCACTGTTCGCCAAGTTGGGTTGGATTTGGTTCTGTTCAGATAGTCACGCTTAATTCGTGTGATCAGATGTGAAAGTGTTGTCGAAGTGTGAAAAGACACCACCCCGAGACTGTTAAAGCAGGAGATACCGGGATGAGACATCAGGGGGTCTCTGCAAGCTTGCCCAGCATCTGTTAGTCATTACAGCCCATTTTATGATTCAGAGGCAGACCGAGCATCTTCACACAATTCTTCCTGCCCTATGGGAGATGTTTTGGGGTTTTTTTCCCTGAAGGTGAGTAAAATGAATGACTTTACCATCGTGCATCCTGGATGAAAGCATGCAAGTAGACCCCAGGTTTCGCCTAATAAATGCCTGCCGTCATTTGGCCACGAGGAATAGCGTGACGCTACTTCAACCAACTCCTGTCATTTCTCCTGGGATTGTTGGTTTTTCTCCATTGGTTTTTAATGGAAAGTGTATATTTCTGAAAATGTGAGGGAATATTTCCCATGAGTCTCATATTTTAGGCAGTGGATTCAAAAGGGCCAAATGGATCTATTCCAGTGGAGTTATTCCAGTTTTGCAGCAACAGAGAAACTAGTCCAAAAGGATGTCTCTATTGAAGCACCGTGCTCTTTTATATTTGTTGCTGAACTGATGAACAAGAAGCCTGAGGGGGAAATCCTGACTTTGCTGAAATCAGGAGTTTTGCCCTGGTCTTCAATGGGGCCAGCATTTCCCCCTACACATTTCTACCTTGCTTGTCATCCTGATAACCTAGTGACCAGGTTGGTATCAGTTATTCATTCTCAACCTACCCAGTCTGCAACGTGCCCTTGAACACCGGGTGTTGACTCTGTCATTGCTTTAAAATCAAACCTAGCTAGAAATCCTTCCCCTTCTGATTACTAGCTAGCTTTTATTTTAAAATGTATTACCATAAGATCTTTTCTGCAAAACCAGAGTATTTCCAGAAAATGTCTTCATCTCCTAGGTTCATCCCCGTTTGAAATAATCCAGTTTGCATAACACAAACCTGATTCAGATTTTTGTCCCTACCACTGGGAATATATGTGTAAAAAGAGGATCTCTGTGTCCAGAGTCTCTTCTGGCCCCACTGTTTGTCATACATGTGAAATCATCACCCACTAATTTCTTTCTTTTTTTTGTCTTGGTGGGACATCGAAATCATTTCTTCACCAATCTATTGATAATGCAAAGACTGTCTGGGGACAGACAGGAAGGAAGAGAGAAACTCCAAATGTAAGAATACAAGTAAGGAGGCATAAAAGCATAAACCAGGTCAATCAAATTGTTTCTAACTAAGCATGAAAGCACTGAAAAAACAGTGATTCCCAGTATTGAACACTATAATGAATTAGACAGGTATAGAAAACACTGTACAAAATAGCAGCAATGAGATACAATTTCTGTTCCCTCTTAGTTTGCCACTTCAGATGCCCGCCAGGTCTGCAGTCACAATGAGTCAAAGTGTATATCCCCAAATATTATCTATGGCCTATAGAGCTGGCCCCATGGCCTGTAAAACATAATCCTCTATACTGTCGGTGGTAGCAAAATCCCCTGAAATTGTAGCATGACATATCCCTCTGCAGCACCTGATGGCAGAAAAGCAACGCACAATGTGTGTCTATTTTATGACGATCTAAAGAAGCTACCATTACTCTGAGTGAGACACCAGTTGGTCGGGACCCAACCACGGGCTGAGAAATAATCCCCAAAGTGAGTATGAAAGATGGAGCAGCGAGGCCAAAGATGGGCCAAGCCATTATCTCAGTATTTGAGGTGGTCGTCTTAGGGGTCTGCTAAAACTCATCACCGAGACCACGTAGAGAAGTCCTGTGCCGTCTCCACTTGTGCAGCTGGCGGTAGATGCCGTGTTCCCTCGAGCTGACAGCCTGGCATTTAGCTGTACGTTTGCATAAGCAATTTTAAATTAAAGGGAAATGTTCTGTGCGCACATGCTCCTCCAGCTTCGTATCTGTACAGGGCTTCGTACGAGTTGACCTACATGGTGGAGCCCTTTGAAGATCAAAGCGTGCAATGAAATATGCAGAGATATTAAAACCAGCTCGCTGCCTTGCTCCACTCCTTCCACGGGAATATCATGAGCACCCTCATTGATAGAAGTCGCTTTTCCTCAGCAAGAAAAGAAAGAAGAGAAATGTAGGTAACATGCCCCCAAGGTTGGCCACGTCTGACTCTGTTTATCTTAAACCAGTGTGACCCGTTGACCTCGGTGGAGCTCCACTTCTGAGTCACATCACTGCAGACAGTGGTGCTGGCCAGAATTCGTCAGCATTTTATTTCCCAGGGAAATTTTCAAGCAAAATGGAAAAGTCTACCAAGCAATTCTGATTTATTGCAAACCAAAATTGGTCACTCTGGGGTTTTCTTTTCCAATTAAAGACGGAAAATATTGAATCAAAAACAGGGATTTTCTGAAGAAAAACTCTTCAGACAAAAATAAAAGCATGCTCCATACGAGAAAAATTGCAATGGCCGCAATGTTTTCACCCACGTCGGGTAAATGAGCTCAGAAGGAGGCTGTGAGGATGCCCAGGCTGCGCACTGGGCTGGGACTCAGGAGACTTGGCCTGTCTTCCCAACTCTGCCACTGGTTTGCAGGGTGACTTCAGTCACTCCACGTCTCTGTGCCTCAGTTTCCATGTCTGTAACATGGGGATGGCACTGGCCTCCAACTCTGCATGAGAAATGGGTATTTTGTTTTCATTGATTTTCTTTGTCTCATATACGCTGGAGGACAATGAGAAGGTAAGTGGAGGGAACAAATTAACCTTACCTAAAACGAATCTCTTTTCTCCTTCCATTTGTCACCACCCGGGCCTTGTTTCCTGTCTCCAGGTGAGCAGAAAATCTGTGATGGCTCCTCCAAAGGCATCCCCTCAGCTTTGTCTGCTGGCTCGAGAGAAATAAGGCTGAGCAGGTGAGCCAGCAGGAAGCCTTGCCTTCTGGGAAACCCAACCGCAGAAAGGCAATATCACCTCCAAAGCAAAGCGCTTTTACACTGGGTGTCACTTCGGGTGCCACTGGGAGAACAGGATTCAGTTCACTCCTCTCCACAGAAAGGTGGTTAGCCATCCTAGTCTGAAACCAGAGAAGCATTGGGACGCCTTCCAGAGAAAAGCAAAGAGCGATGAAAAGGGGCCAGGAAAGATGTCTAGGCAGTGAGGTTTCACAGGAGCCTGGTCTAGTCTTCTGCTCTGTTCCTTAATCCGTCATAATGAATTTGGCTGAATAATTAAACCTGTGGCTGTATTTGAATTTGTAATCCGGTGTAGACTGAGGGT